CTCAGCCCACCATCAATACGGTGTGAGCTCCGCGGGTCTGCCATCCTCCAGCGTCGCCGTGGCTGGACAATCCCTCACCTCCGCCTCCAGCCTCCGAGGCCCGGACTCCTCCGAGGCTCGTAGACCCAGCGGCTACACCTCGGATCCTAGCTCCCTCACCTCCACCGTCACCCTTTGATCCACCAGCTCCACCGGGCTCCCCTCGTCCCTCCGGCTCCGCCTTGGCTGGGCGTCGACCCGCCATCTCCTCAGGACTCCGCTCCTCCGGCTGCACTTCGTTGCTCCGTCCCACCGGCTCTATTGGGCTCCTTCCTCCCGGCAGCTCCACCTTGGTCCTCAGTCGCTTCGGCTCCGCCGCGGATCTCCGGATCTCCGCCTTGGTCGCCAGAGCCCTCGGCTCCACCCTGGCCCCCCGGATCCTCAGCATCCCCCTGGCTCATTGGCTCACCTGCTCCGCCGCTGTTGGTCGGCCCCTGGAGTCGGCGGCCATTCCTCCATGGCTCCTCCCTCCGTCGGCTCCACCGTGGGCCGTCATTATGGCTGTGGCCTGGGTCCAGCTGGACCCCTCCTTCTCCAAGCCCCTCCTGTCTCCTCCCTGGCTCCTCCCTCCATCGTCTCTTCCCTGGACTCTGTCTGCCGGCCTCCTCCCGGGTGTCCATCCTCCACCTGAGCCACCTCCCAAGCTCCCACCTATGCCTCCCTCTGTTGTTGTTACGGTGCGAGGACGTACCTTCCGGGAGGGGGCGATATGTTAGACTTTTGTACCTGTTTTGCCCCCGTAGTCCTTCCTGTGTTTCCTTATTTGGTCATGTTCCTGTCCTCGTTTAGTCTGATTGTCTTATATGATCCACCTGTGTCTCTCCAATTATCCCTAGCATTTAAGCTCCTGTCTTTGCGTTTCTCCCCTGTCGGGTCTACCTTGTCTGTACATGTGTCATTCCTCGCTCTTGTGCTGGATTACCCCAGTGTTTCATGAATTAAAAAGACTGTTTATTATACTCCTTGTCTCCATCGTTCCTCAGACAGTGTAAGTGGGACATTACTACTGTATGTGGCATGGGGACAGAAGTGCTTCTTATCATCAGCCATTATTTGTGGAAAATAGGAATTATATATGTAGCTTTTGACATTTTATTTGTAGACAGATGAAGACATCTCATGAGAAAACAAAAAAAACCTGTGTTTGTTCTGTTGATGCAGTACAGCAGAAAGTCTTGGTTGACTTGAGTGGCTCTGAATGAACAGTGAACTGTCTTGGCTGCTCAAAACATTGTTTCACATTTAATTCATCATAAAGGTATAGTATGTTGACTTCATTACTCAACGTTTGTCACATATTTCACATGTCACACTAGAAGCACTTGAAGGTCTAGTTTTTGTTTTTCACTAGTTCCAGCACTGTAAATTTCAGCAGAGGTCAGATTCCCCCAGCGTAGAGTGCACATATTTTTTAGTCATTTGGAAAAGCCTGGGCCTTTGATTTCCTAGTGTCTTCCGGACACGAATAGCACTGATGCCCTGAGATTTAAAAGGGTCTTGGGACGTCTGCCTCTGAAGCCATGAGCTTGTGATGGCACATCTGTACGATTCCAGGGGATGTTTTCAAGATGACCAGGTTTATAGTTCACTGTTGGTACATTGAAGTCTCTGAGTCTTTATTAAAAAAAACATTGAGACACACTGAAGACAAAGTAACCCACTTTATTTCCATGTTCAAAGAAAACAATAGTTGAATCTTATCTTTCCATCCTTGAAATTATTAGCATCTTTATTAGAAGTTTTGGGCAACGTCATGCAATCCAGCCTGAGTGAAAGTGAACCTTCAAACCTTGCTCATCTTCAAAGCTTCATTTATCTTTTGCTACTTTGAACTTTGACCTGATGTACTTGTAGTTCCAAGCATATAGTATAGACATACTGCATTAGCAACTGTTCCTAATTTCTCAGTCTGTGTATGCCTCAAGATTTCCCTTTTCTGATTTTCTGAAGTTTGGTTTGTCATAAATATCTGACAAGTCTTCTTATTTATATGGTAACACTTTAGTTTAGGGACCAGTTCACACTATTAACTTGTTGCTTATTAGCATGCATATTACTAGCATATTGGCTGTTTATTAATACTTATAAAGCACACATTTATGTCTTTATATGTATGACCATATTTTCATATCATAGCTAAACTTAACAACTACCTTACTGACTATTAATAAGCAGCAAATTAGGTGTTTATTGAGGCAGACGTCATAATTAGTAGTTAGTTAATAGTGTGAACTGGAAATAAACATTTATATAAATTTGAAACTTACTCACAGCATAGGTACAGTGCACTTATAAATGATATTGAGTTTACCTGTGATGGAGGCACAGAATAAATGAGCTCAGCAGGAATGCAGATATATTCTCCAGACCAGAGCGTTAAACATCACATTTAACCACTCTCTTCCTCATACACCCATTTCCAAACAGCCCAGAATACATTCAGAAAATATAATTTTCAGTTTTTATTGCAGTCCTAACCAAACGCGATGCGATAAGACTCCAGCGATAAGTAATTTGTCCACGCCAGGGGCGACGTGGCTACTATGCAACATGACAAAATCAATCACAAATCACAGCCAATCAGAAAAGCGAACATGCAAGGAAATGAATAAGCGCATAATCTGACTCATAAATATTAAACCATTTCAAAATGATTAAAAATACATACTGAGTGATTGCTGTCAGTTTACAATGACTTCTGTCATCATGATCTTCACTTTAGAGTGCTGATACAAATAATTAGTAATTCCTTTAGAAGGATTTGGTAATCCTTGAGTCATTACTGCTGGATTACCATGATTGTCACTTTAGAATTTGCTCTGTGACCTCTGTCAATTTTCAAATGTGTCCTACAAACATGTTTTTCACTACTATAAGTGTCAGAGTACACATAGTCAAATCGACAAAAAAAAGAAAAATGACGCCGACGCCCGTGAAATATTTGGCATGCTAAATATCTGGAGCTGTCGGCGATTCACAATCACGCTGTGTGAAATGAGTTCTGACTGAAAAACTCATCGGCAATGACCTACAGCCAATGAGAGAGCAAGATACAGGGCAGCGGGTAGTTCGGGGAGGAGTTATATGAAACGTAGTTTGCGTACCAGTGTTGCCAAAGCCGCGATTGCTGCCGGTTGTTTTTCATGTCAGCAGGTTGAAGCGACCCCAATAACGTGACATTTAGGCCCTGGAATGTGAATTGTACCAGGAAAACCCAGCCAAAAAAAATTGTATTTTACCCCCGAAAGCAATTTTTACTGGGGGACCCCCTCGAAAGCAATTGGGCTATTTTCAGGCTAGTTTTGAGTAGTAATTGGGCGGGTTTTGTAGCGAAAACCTGGCAACCCTGCACCAGACAGAGCTGTCGGTGATTCTTCCTATTGTAAAGTCATGCAGTGTGTAACCTCCTGTCGTCGTTCCATCGTGCAGTGTGAACACAGCAGCAACTGAATGCTACCCCAGATAGTCGTTCAGTGTGAATCCAACAGTGATGCGACGTCTTTAAAAATCGTGCCGTGTGAACTCGGCATAAGTTGGGCAGCGTGAGAGCATGAGATAGAGCTGTATCTCACGCCGAGTGTGTGAGAGTTGGCAACCCTGGTTACAGTCAGGACTCCATCAGAAGATATCTTGTAAGTCCCAGGAAACAAAGTGCATATTAAAAAGCTTTGAAAATAATTATAAATCAACTATATATCAATTGCTGCATTTTTTTCAGAAAGATGCTGTGGTAACTTTATTATTTTAAGATTTAACATTTGTAGATGGTCTAAGGCAGTGGTTCTCAAACCTGTCCCGGAGGACCCCCTGCCCTGCGCATTTTGCTGCTGTGTCTCATTTAGAAGGCTGCGTCCTCCGGAGGTCGCATCCTCTGGAGGTCGAATCCTCTCTAGGATGCGTATACGGAGTGTCCTCAACCCTAGGTTTAAACGAGACGGCCTTCGTAGGACGGGCGGAAAAGGAAACAGGAAGTATCACGTTGCTAGGCCAACACATAGCGTCGTTGCGTCTCACACTTGAGGAAAAATTAATTAGGAAAATTATTTCAAAATTTGGAAAGTAATTTGAAAAGAAATTTTTTTTACTTGTTTTATTTTATTCAATGTTTGAGGAGCTACAGCGTACGTACAACAGACATCTGTTAGAGAAGAAAAGGAGGAGGATATCAAGAACAAAGTTTATCCGTTTTTACCGGCGGAGATTTGAGGTAAGTTGTAGCATAGTTCCTTTAATATAATATTATTTAATATAAGTCCATATATATATAAAGCCTTTGGTTGTAGGGTATTGAGGCAATAATTATATAACTACATTTATCTTACTACACATTACTATACATTATATACAATGCTATTATTATTGTGATCCCACTGTTTTTAAAAGTGCTACGAATTACATAATTGATCATAATTTAACCCAGTGTTCACAATTTTAAGATAATTTTAGGAAAGCTATTAAGCAAAAAACAAACAAAAAGAAATACTGTACTAAAGTTGTCTATTAAACTACATATTAAATATGAATGCAATTTAATGCTGTAAAACTAGATTATAAATACATTAAACAATACTGAACATTAAAAAAATAACCTAATGTAATGCTGTAGATCTGTTATATATACACACAATATTGAACATCAAGAATGAACTGAAAAACTATATTATATATACACACATGATTATACACAATAGTATGTAGTTGTACATATAATTTTTATTATTTTGTTTCATACAGACAGACATAAAGTATTGCAGGCTCAATCCCCATGTCCCTGTTCTTGAGAAGTTTTTTGATGGAGGGAATACAAAAGCAGACTTTCGTCTGACGAGAGAGAGCCTCAATAAACTTTTGAAGCTGCTTCATCAGCAACGGAGGCATGGCTGGGGTACAACACTCCAGACCTTGTAGACATGGGACTGTACAAGGCCTACATCTTAGCTTACCTTATACTTTTTTTTTTAAATTGTCCCACTTTTTCTTTGCTTGTGCTGGTGTTATTTTACTGGACAGGTCCATTTTCTCCAGAATAAATCTATAATCATAAAAATAACATAAGCATAACATCACAATTTAGAGTGAAAACTTCTTACACATCCTTAGAAATAAGACTTCCCTTCTGCCTAACATAGGGGTTAGGGGCATAGGGGCACACACTGGTCCTGGAGAGCCGCTGTCCTGCAGAGTTCAGCTCCAACCTTAATCAAACACCTGAACAAGCTAATCATGGTTCTAAGGGTTACTGGAAAGCAACAGGCAGTTGAGTTTGTATAGGGGGGTTGGAGCAAAACTCTGCAGTACTGGTCTAGCCTGGTCTAACATGTCCTTCGTGACAGAACTTTTAATTTAGCCTTTCAGGCAAGAATGAGATTAATTCTGCTCAAAAAGAAGAAAGACTGATTGCCTACTTTTTAATTCTATCAAAAAGAAGAAAGACTGACTGCCTACTTTAATTCTAAGATCTTACCTCCAACCATATAAGGCTGTATTTTTAGCTCCAGTGAAGAGATCAGAATGTTCCTGCCTCAATCTTATAAATTTCTCCGTATTTTCCTTGCTCCCTATTCAAAACAAAATTGAACAGGACTTATTTCTACATGTATTTTTACTGTTGATTTTGCCCTCTTGTAGTGTTTGGTCATTTTAGATAGATTTTTCCACCATCAGATTTTTTTCAGAATTTGTCTTATTTTAACTGTAATAATGCAAAAAAACAATACTTAAACATTTCGAACAAAAATCTAAATTTTGACAAAAAAGTCTTATACTAGATAAACACACTCTTATTCCTATCATTATGAGCACATTCCATAGGCATAATGGTTTTTACACTGTACAAACATATTCTATTCCCCTATAAACCTACATTTTAAAATAGTTTTATATTAAAACTATACTTATTTTCTATACTTGATATAGACAAATTATTTTCTGTACTTGATATAGAAAAAGGGTGCATAATTTATTTGAAGAATATTGTCTATCTTAAAGAAAAAAAAATATCAGTGAACTAAAATATAGAACATTAATTTCATAACACTAAAAGCAGAAATACATTTTTTATAAAATTATTGTCTCCGGTCAGTTTCTACAGTGAACAACATGAAAGTGACCCCGAAATGTAATGCCAGAGGGTTAAACAAATGAATTATTTCTCGCCTTGCTAGCAAAGTACTGTTAAACGTTTAAAAATCACTAAAGACTTGTGATCATGTTTATCACACTTGTAATACAACTAAAAAAAATTAAGAACTTTGAGCTGAGCTCCGTTCAGTTGCTTTGACACAATCTGTATTGTTAAAAGCGCTATATAAATAAAGGTGACTTGACTTGACTTGACTTGACTTTGAAATACTTACATTTAAACACCACATCTCCGCTTGTGTGTAGATCTGCCGGCGCCGCCATTTTTTCAAATAAACGACGGTTGTTCACGGCGACGCAAAGCATTGTGGGTTATCTGTAGGAGCGAAGGATACACCTCATGCATCCTCCGGATTCCTGTGAAAGAAGGTCGCATTCGAAGTGTCCTACTTGCTTTTCTGAAATGAGACAGCCTCGATGACGTATGCAGCCTTCGAATGCGACCTCCGGAGTGTGCAGCCTTCTGAATGAGACACAGCTACGGTCTCCCTCATCTATCACACCTGATTCAACTCATCAGCTCATTAGTGGAGACTGCAAGACCTGAAGTGACATACAAAATGTGCAGTGCTGGGGGTACTTCATGGAGAGGTTTGAGAACCACTGATCTAAGGCAAAAGAGTTGTAAAAATTCTGAAAACCATTTAGAGCTCATAATTCGTTTAAAAAACAAACATATTACAAACTAATGAATAGATCTGTATATATAAATTTACAAGTGTAATGTTTGTGATTTTTTGTAGTCATGAAAGCAATAGCTTCTGACCTTTAAATCAAAACATACTCATGATTTTACGATATTAATACTGCTTTATTTATCCAGAAACACAAGTTTCTTAGTGATAATTGTGTATTTAACTTTTTGTTACAAGTAGGCCAACAGCGCCTCCCTATGTAAATAAAATGGCTATACTAATACCGAACGGGCATTAGGACCCGGGGGAGGCTGCCGCTGCTACTGCACGTGCTAGTGACTGTTGAGTCTATCACACTGAACACATCATCTTTAAACAGTGAATCTAATCACCATTCAGTCAAAAGTTTGCTTCAAGAATAACCACACTGTTGATCTAATCGCTAGCACACCCTGAGCACATGAGTTAATCCTCTTATCGGACCGATATCGGACGATTCCGATATCGGTCCGATAATATTGTGCATCCCTAGTACTTCTTAAGATAATATTAAGAACATCTAAGTGTATTGAACGGTGCTATTTTGGGACACCATGAATATGAACTAAAATGTGCTTTTAACATATTGTCTGTAAAAAAATTTATTTAGTTACCACTTGTAGTACACTTGAGTGTACTAGTGTATGAAAGAAAGGTTACTACAAGTGTACTACAAGTGGTATCTAAATACACTGTAATTTTTAATACAGATAAAGTATGTTAAAAGCACATTTTAGTTCATATTCATGGTGTCCCAAAATAGCACAGTTGAGTACACTTAGATATTCTTACGATTATCTTAAGAAGTACTAAAGAATATATTTTTTATTATATTAAATACAAAATTAGGGCTTGAAAATAGAGCACTCTAAGTACAATATGGAAGTACACTTTTATTTATTTTCGCCTGGGCGTACCTTCTATATAGTATGAATCAGTGTGTAGCATGAATGAAATTGTTACGGACTGCTCAGAGACTGAGTGAGGATCCAAATGCAGTGTTTATTAGGAAAGTCCAGAATCGAAATCAGACAGCAGGCAAGGGTCAACACACAGGCAATCAGTCCGACTAAACAAGGCAGAAAACACAGGCAAAGAGTCCAAAAACCAAGAGCCATATAAACAGGAGAACTGCTCAGAGATGCAGTGTAACACTTACAAGACTTCGCAAAGAATGACCAACTAAACCAGACTTATATAGGGTGAGCAGACAGGGTAAATGAGACACAGGTGCAAACAGTGAGCGTTGATGAGTCCGGGCAAAGGATTATGGGAAATGAAGTTTTTGATGGAGTGGTAAAGTCTGGGATGGAGTGCCCTCTAGCGAAGCTCACGGGCACTCCAGCTAGAGATCATGACAGTAATCCAGAGGATGTCTCTTCACAACTATGCAATTCACAACTCCTCCTTGCTGCTTGTACTGGGTTTTATCAAATAAATACAGCCTTTGTGAGCAAGAGACGTATCAGAAACATACAAAAATGAATTATTCATACATTTCTGACCGGTAGTGTACAGTTACTTGGTTGCAATCCTTCAGCTGTGGCGTGCTGGTATTTCCAGCTATGTACGCAGTTCTTATGCCTGAAATTGTCAGTCCACACAATCTTGCTACTTGCTCAATAATTAAATTTGGTTAGTTTTCAACCAAAAATCTACTGAACAGAACTATCTGTCACAGTCTTAACATTGAAAAGTAAGTTGAAATCAGAGTTGTACAAATAATTGAAGAATGAATTTCATATGTATTGTTCTTGCTGTAGTTAGTTGGAGTGTCAAGGTAAATTACATGTTCAATTAGCACTGCTAGCATTCCTCTAGCATCTTACGCTCCTTCTGTGTTGACCTCTGCTCTCCTGTCCATATCATTATTCATTACTGCCATCGTAAAACGCTTGAATGATCTTTCCAGTCTGTCTAAAAGGCCAAACGATTTGTCCTTTTCGCTAAACACAGTGCAATTATTTGAGGTAACTGTAATTGTGTTGTATAGTGAATTAATGGCATTAAGAGCTTTGGGTAACTTTTGGCTCATTCCCAGGAAACTGCCACTTATGTCTGAAAAGTACAGGATTTTTGAAGGGGTCTGTGCTTTCAGGAAATCATATTTTCCCACCTACCTTACATACTAAAAACTGGGTAAACTTAGGTAGCGTCACTATGGTTTGTTTTTTATGTGTTTCAGTGGTTGAATATTACATGGTTAAAGGTCACTTGAAGGGATGCCTTTTATGAAAACTTGTGTCAATATTACTGCATGCATCACACCGCATTATTTACAATCATTTAATGCCTAATCTGCAAAAACTGATCATTCAGTTTTTCACCATGTGTCTCCAAAGACGTGTATGATGTCCTTGCTCACATCTGTGATGAACACAACTCATGTCCTCATTTATTTGAAGTATGTTCATTCTGTGTTACGTCTGAGAACTAAGCTGCTTTGGCCTCACCACTATCCTGCTCACTTGACCTTCAGTTAAACCAGTGTGTTTACTTCCTCCAGTGCCCCACACATGTTCTCCAAACCACACAACCAGCTCTGTGTCTCCAAAACCCACTCAACTCTGGCCTAGTCCAGTGGAGAGGTGGAGAGGGAGAGAAGGAGCACATTTAATGGGGGAAGAGAGATTGTGGCTCGGCAGTCTCTCTCTTCATGACCCCATGAACGGTGTGAAATTGGATTAGGAGGTGTGAAATGAAGCTGTATTTAGCCTGCAGCAGGAACACCAGCAAGCCAAATCATGCTTACACATATCAAATTAAGGAGGAAAAGAAAGAGTAAAAGCATGTAGAGTCAAAACATTCTGTATAATGGTGCATTCAGTTCAGCTGAATCAAGTGAATTTCAAGCAATCTTAAAGGGGCCATAGAATGGAAAACTGTATTTACCTTGGCATAGTTGAATAATAACAGTTCTGTACATGGAAACGACACACCGTGAGCCTCAAACACCATTGTTTCCTCCTTCTTATGCAAATCTTGTGCATGCAAAAGACCACTGAAAAATAGGCGAATCAGAAATTAACACCGACTGTAACGTTACAGGTGGGATTACTAATAGTTACGCCCCCAACATTTGCATATACCCGCCCATGTTCTAGATGCCAGCCGGCAGCCCAACCTGCACAGCCCAGCCGCCAGCCGAACCTGCACAGCCGAATCACCAGAAGTTCTGCAGGTACTGTGAAGAAACAAGTGAGGATACTAGCAAAAATGGCAGATCATGGAAATAAATGTTTTGGATGTGATGTGCAGGGATGGGTTGGTGTCTGTATTCAGAAAGGCACGGAAAACAAATAACGCGCGTTCTAATAAAATAACGCGAGCCACTAAAGGGACATGGTTAGCTGCTTGCTAGCGGTAGCCTGTTACATTGCAGTACATAAGATTTCCCTTATCACATAAACAGAGTAAGGAGAGATGACTGAGGATGATGGCGAAAGATTTACAGATCCTGAGCACCACTGACAAGCATCTGATCTTGTAAAATGTGTGGTAAGTACTGCCGCTGTAGTTTACACAGAGCACGTGCGATCGCAAAATTCGAAAGTGAAAGTAAAAATCAATAGTGCATTTGAAAGCAGTTTCAACACCCCACATATTAATAGCGGCTCCGTGATGCCCGCATTTTATATACAGTATAATTACCCAACAATATAACTGCGAGAGACAGTATTGAAATATATATTTTCCCTGTGTTTCCTACCTGCTGTGTGAGCTACTGAAATGAGCGGCACTGTGAAACAGCCAATCAGAGCAGAGCTCAACATT